TGCATATCGGTCATCTAGTGCCACTCGAGTGATCTAACTTTGCATCGTCACTAAATCGAGTGGCGTGGCAAGTTGAGTGGCTAATCCTTTGAAAAACGATTGTGAAAATACTAACACACATACACATGATGGTGTACACTTGGTGGTGTTGGCACATTTACAAGGGTTCAAAACTTCACCAGCGGAGTGTCCGACAGTCCGACGATGCCACCGGTGCCCTATACAGAAAAGATAGGGTTTTATAGAGTGCACCGGACGCTGGTCACACAGTGACCAGACTCTGACCCTACGTCCGGTCAGTAGCAGCTGTGAGCATGCGGTCTCGGTCTCATGACTGGACGCTGGCGCGAAGAGTGATTGGACGCTCAGGGCCAGCGTCTGGTCAGTACTCACGTACGCTGACGTGGTAGCGTCAGGAATAGCAGTGATGCGTGGCAGTTGGAGAATGACCGGACTCAGGTGCTGCGTTCGGTCGTGCAGGACCGAACGTGTCCGGTCGTAAAATAGAGGCTCGGGGAGCACTCTGGAAACGACCGGACTCTGGCTGGTCTGCGTCCGGTCGTCATTTGGCTCTTTTGGGATCTCTCTAGAAATAACCGGACTAGACAGTGGTGCGTTCGGTCTTGGCGTTGTGCTGCGTCCGGTCATCACTTGACCGTTGAGATCAAACGACTGAGGTTGAACGGAGGCGACACGTGGCATGCATCCGTTGACCGGACGCTGGACCGGGTGTGTCCGGTCGATCTGACCGGAGCGTTCGATCACCCCGAGCTGTGCCCAGTGAAGGGGTACAACGGCTCTATTTTCTTAGGGGCTATAAAACTAAGCATTGGCCGGCCTTGGGCTGGTTGCTGAGCATACTAGAGCCTTGGTGGCTTATGTGGTAGTGCTTGGGAGCCCTCTAACTCACTTGAGCTTGATAGTGTTCATCCGATCGAGTGAGTGAGCGATTCTAGTGCGATTGCATCATGAGGTTGCATCGAGTGGCACTAGGTGATCGAGTTGCAAGCCGGTGGTGCTTGTTACTCTTAGAGGTTGCCACCTCCTAGATGGCTTGGTGGTGGTCTCCGTCGAAGCCTGCAAGAAGCTTGTGTGGTGCTCGGAGAAGAGCTTTGTGAGGGGCATTATGCTCGCCCCACGGAAGCCACGAAGAGCAACTCTAGTAAAGCGAGACGTGAAGGGCGACAAGTGGTCCGGCCGGGTCAAGTGCTAGAGCTTGTGGTAAGCAATCCACGTGGGAGAGTGTGACTTTTGGGTCACCACTAGCAAGAGGACCGGCGACAACCTTGGAGCTTGTCTCAACGGGGACTAGCGTGTTGGCAAGCACGTGAACCTCGGAAAAAAAATCATCGTGTCATCCTTGTATTCCCGTTGATTTGTATCCTTGTTACACAAGCTTATAATTACTTTCATATACATTGTGCTTGTTGTTTACACCAAAATTTGGAAGAAGAATTACAAGAACTCAAAAACTTCCAAGATCATGTCATCAAGGAATCGATTGCATAAAGGTCGGTATCAGCTAATTCGAATGCAGCACTGGAATCGGCTCTCTTCAGATAGCGCCAGCAGATAACGATAAAAGCTATGATCGACATCAGGAAAAAACATGTTAGACTCTACAAAAAGAGAAAGATTAGGGTTCAAGTTATCTTAAATTAGGAATGTTTTTCTCTTAGGCCAAAAAATTATAATGAGTCATGCTTAAGTAGGATTCATGCATTGGTCCCGGGTATAAATATTGGACCCCGGCTATTGTAAAGGACACACAATCAATCAAATATAAGTTACTTACTTTTTTGGCTCTGGCCACCCCTTAGGAGTAGGATAGAGTAGATCTCGACGAGTTCTTCAACGAGCAAGGCTGCATCGGTCCGGTCGACCTCCGGCTTGTCTGTAAATACCGTCATGGCTTATACTTCTATTCATACGGCTACATCGATCCGGTCGACCTTCACTGCGGCTCTAGTATAAGCTAGTTATCAACTCTTGTCTAGTTCAAGTACGGCTACATCGATCCGGTCGACCTCCACTGCTCGAACTAGATTAAGGTCGAGTTATCGGCTCTATCTAAGGGTGGTGTCCTTCGGGTAGATTCATTAAGTTACCGATCTTGCTGATGTTTTCATTGTTACTAGTTTACAACAACATCAATTCACCGGTCAGAGATCGAATTAGATCGGCCTTATATCTTTTCGTCCATCGTTCGCTTTACCACAACACGGTGTTTCTTACTCTAAGCGATGAATTATGCTTCATCGGTTGTTTCTACTTCGATCTTGATCGTGCATAGTACGCCGTTAAGGCATGAATATTCTTGAAGAGGTTTGCTAGCTAGTTGAATCTAGTTTATAGTTCACCATTATGGCTGTAATGATCCGATCGATCCCCACTGATGGCACTATAGATTGAAGGATGCTAGTTAGTAGATTTATTTTTGGTTAGGCGTGTCCTTAGCTGTTTGCTATGTCTGCATCGGCTAAATAGCCGATCGCTTGTGCGTTAACGCCTAATGGTGTGCTTCCATGATTCTGTTAAGCGTGAATAGATCTGTGTGCTTTAAGGGTTTGATTCGTTGTCTTTTTCACGGCTACATTGATTTGGTCAAACCCCACTGTTAGAGATAGCAAGTTGAGTCTAAGAAGTCCATAAGTTTGTTCATGTGAAATAGTCGATTGTTCACACGCTATAGTCCTTTTAACCTGAATCGGCTATTTTAGCCGATTCATCCGAGCCTTCATGTATAGCATGTCTTTCAAAAAGCCTATCGAAGTACGGATGTTTTTGCGGATTCTTCAATTTTAGTTTGTTACTATTATCATAGCTGCCATCGATCCGGTCGAACCTCACTGTTGGTGGTAACATATTAGATTCAGAGCGTTTGTAGATCCATTCGTATCAGATAGTTGATTCGTTCGTGTGCTATATCTTTTCCTGATTAGATCTATCGGCTCAATGATTCATACTGATAATATCCACCTAGCTGATGATCTTATTTACATATACGTATTGTACTTGTCAACATAAAAATTAATCGCTACCCACGAGCTTTACAGTCCGTAACAGTCGATTTCTGTGCGGATCGGCTATTCAGTCGCTTTTCCCGTAATAGCTGCTCCCGAAGCGGCACACTTGGAACTGTCTGGGCACAGACCGGCATGTTCCACCTTAAATTACTGATAAACTTTCTCTCCTTATCAATTATAGGGTCAAATTGACTGGCACGTCTCGTGAGGAGTACGCATGATTGACCATCCCTACGTTGAAGTTAGGCGGATCTATAGCTCCATCGAGTAGACCCTTTCGGTTTGCTCGTGTGCATTCGGCACGATTGACACGTTTTTTGTGCCGACACTTGTGTAGTTGCTTTTGTAATTAGTTAGCTTGTATAGCTTGCTAGTTACCTTCTAGCATGTATAGCATAGAAGTAACTCCCTTACGTGACTAATTTGGTTTGTGTAACCTTATTAGTCATATTGCTTAGTTTATGTAGCTAAGTATTTGCGCTCTCTAATTTGGCATTGGTTGCCTTATTATTGAGCATTGCTAGTGAGCTTAGGTGGTTTTGTGCTTTTGTTTACTAGCATGTGTAGGAGCTCCCTCATTGCTTGAAGTACTAGTAGCATAGGTTTGTGTGACCTTGCTTCTAGAATTGGTAAGGTGAGTTCTAGCTAGCCCGGCACCTTAGTTGCTTAATTAGGATCTTTGCAAGGTGCTAGAGAACATAGATAGAGGGGTGTAGTCTTGGCTAGACCGATAGTTTAAATTCCGCACTTGTTTCGGTTATCACTTGTTTAACCGACGCAATTAATTTTAGAAAAGACTATTCACCCCCCCCTCTAGTCCATCATCTCGACCCTACACCGCTGCCGCACGCGCTGCTCCCCGTACCCATACCCCATCGCTGCGTCGCAGTCCCCGTCGCTCCTCGCGGGCATCCTCTCCGACCTTGCCGAGATCAACGGCTCCTTTTTGGCCGTCGTGTGTGGCCAGGCGACCAGGAGAGGGGGTCGTCGCTGGCCAGGCGCAGGCGAGGCGGAGGCGTAGCTGGCCACTACCAAGTCGCGCCACCATCCTCGGCCGCTGGCTTGCTGGAATCGACCGTTCCCCCACTCTGTGTTGCATCGTATGAAAGAAGAAGGGTGAAAACCGCATGTTACAAGAGTATGTTTCAAGTGTTTCAGATGTATGTTGCAAGTGTTATATATCGATGTTACAAAAGTAGATTGGAATGTTGCACATGTTGGAATGGCTATACACATATGTTTCAAGTGTATGTTCAAATGTTCATCTGGTCCAGACGTATGTTGCAAATATTTTATCTGAATGTTACAAAAGTAGATCTGGATGTTGCATGTATATGCATGTTGCAAGCATATTTTTCAAGTGTTTTCAAGTGTTTCATATGTATGCTTTATAAGTGTTTTCATCTTGATGTTATATATGTTTGTAATTGTTTTCAAATGTGTTTTAGGTGTTTTGGCAAGCGTTTCAGATACTTGTTTCAAGTGTTACATCTGTCTTTTTTCTATATGTTACATCTAGATGTTTCAAAAGTAGATCGGGTGTTGCACATTAGATGCGTGTGCAAAGCAGGTGGCGGCACGGACGGCGTCCATGGCGGTGTAGAGCTCATTGCTGGTGCGCTCGCTCCCACCTTGTGCGGGCAGTGTCCGGATCGGACGTCCAGGCACTAGCAAGTCTAGAAAAAAAAAAGCAAGTGCCATCCTTTCCCATATTAGGAACGAACGTTCTCACATGGTAATTTCGTGGTTGCACCAACATTATCCCGGCGGCGGCTGTTGATCTGACGGCCCACATCACGCCGCACAGGGAACGGACTCCATCCGACGGCGCGGAGCCGCCGCTGAACCGACGCGTCCGTAAAGGGCGAGCCGTGTATACGCGTGTCAGCGTGCGGTTCGTGGACACCGCAACGAACAAGAACAACGAAAGCCTTTACTGCCAAATCTGTCCTCTACTGTCTACGTACGAGGACAATGGAGAACGCAGCAACCGGCGACACGTCCAGTCCCGACGCCGGCGAGCACGGCCACGACTGCAGCGGTGGCCGGACGGCGGCGCAGGACAGCGTCCAGGGCGCCTCCGCCGTGACGGAGGTGGGCAGCGGCGGCAATGCGGCGGCGGCGGAGACGCGGCGGCCCGGCCTAGACGACGGCCGCGGCGACGACTACGGATGGCTGACGGTGTTGGAGAAAAACGCGGTGGACGACTACTACGACGCGGTGGAAGCAGAGATGATGGCAGCGGGCGGGGGGTGCAACCCTCTCCGGTGAGGCTCGCCGTGGCGAGGTTCGGGTGGCTGCTGCTAGGGTTTCTCGCCGGCGTGGCTGTCGCGGTGCTCTTCCTGATGCAGCAGGAGTCGCCGACGACGTGCACGGTGACGGTGCCAACCTGAATGAACACATACAGTTTTTTTTCAGGTGCACTAACTTATTGATGGTTACATAGTTGGAACAGAAGCATGTATGACGTTGTAATCAAACCTGAAGCTATTTTACTAGTTGCTCTTAATGCTCAGTGATTACATAGTGTACACCTAATGCATCCCTGTGAGTTCGGAATACTTCAGACTTAATGATTCAAATATCTGACAAATTCAGCAGACTGGCAACAGTTCAAACAGTTTCAGTTTCGTAGAAACATCCCAGCAAATTTGAGATCCCATCAGAAAGAATAAAGGTTATGGGGGCGGTGACAGTCGCAGCAGCTAGGCTTAAAACAGGTCTACCAACTCTGAAAAAGAATTCTGAAAAAAGCAAGTATGAACCACCATAATGTACACAAACCGAAGGCTTCTAGGAGTGCTGCTGTTGTTACACGTTAGAACAGGGCGCTCTGTTTAGGAGCACAAACACATGGGGAGGGATACCACGTGTGGGTATCCTTTCATGGGAGTATAGCTCTGCTGGAGACACCATTCCAACTATGTTCTCTTGAGGATGTAGCCGACAACGATGCCCAGAAGGCCCACGATGAACAAGAAGGTGATGGAGAAACCACCGCCGCCACTGGTTTTGCTGCTCTCTTTCCGTAGAAGCTCCTGATTCAGAGAGGCAGAAATTTGTGAGTCTGAAAAAACTCTTAATAAAACTCATATATTTGAGTTAGCACACAGGTTTTGAACAATTATGCTTTTTGAATTTATTATGCTATAGGGCATGGCCATGTTAAAGCTTTTGATTTATAGGTGTACACCTTTTCTAAATATGCAGCTACTAGGTGTTCATTCAGATAAACATTAGATGCAGTTGCTTCAATATTGGAGCAGGATAGTATTCTCACCACAACAGGTCCATCCAAAATTTGAGTCACCACATGCTATCAAAGCACAAGCAAACTAACACAGACCTTCATACATGGTTCCACACTGACCCTAATAATTAACTAGATCTTCTTACGCAAAATTATAAAGTTTTTTTTTTCCAAAGCAAATACAGATCATAGTTTCTAGACTTGAAATTGATTATTAAATGTCTAACAGGAGCAATCAGTTTAGCTTGCATAAAAAGCTGATGATTTTGACAACTGTGCAGTTTTAAGAAAAAAAAAATCACTTCAGTAGCTTTCCATGTTCTTTTCCCTTGTGATGACAATGGTGATCAGAGGAGAAATGAGAATCATACAATAATTAGCATCAATGAATAATGTCATCAAAGTAATATTTATATGAGAACGGAAACAATAAAAAGGACATTTAAAAAACAAATGGTCACAAACTACAGTACTGATTTAGTACTACCAAAATGTCTGGAGAACTTACCAGCTCTTGTCGTAACTTCTGGTTCTGCTGAACAGCAGACATTTTCTCCTCAGTTAGCTTGGAGATCACAGACGTTGCCTAGCAGTCACCAACCAGAGTGAATTAGTCAAAAACGCAAAACTTCATAAAGTATGTTACAACTTATACACAAACTAACAACCAGATTAGGTCCTGTATTTTGGCTTTCTGCTGTCAAGGACTCAATAGATCAGACATGAATAAGAAAAAACTGCAGAGATCAGACAAATTATATCTTCCAACTTGTTACTACTCGTCTACTCATAGGATGAAGCATATTCATGTCTAAGAGCTATATGACAAAAGCAAGATAGTTCATGTGAATAAGAAATCATGAAGGCATCAAGTTTAGAAAACTAGCAAGGGATTTGTTCCCTAACCTACTTACATTCCATTTAGTTTGCCTCTCTTCCTAAAAGTACAGAGTTTAGTGATAATGAGGCATTATTATTTCTCAACTATTCAAAATGGATAGCGAATCTGATCACAAAATCTCAGAAAACCAGAAATCCATTCTAGTCATAAATATATTTGATAGTAAACTTCATCTAGAAGTTACCATGCCGGTGCAGGATTATTCGAGACCAAACCATAATCATATGTGATAGATCTAAACATCAGAAAAGGCTATATCAATACAGCGAGATTTCTGATAGTATCATTTCTTTCCAAGGGTCAAAAAATCTTTTATTACTTCATGAATGGATATTACCACCAAGGGATATTGCTTCCCATCAAGCTCTTATAATCAGTTGCAATTTGCAAGCCAGTATATGCTTCCAAAATTTTAAGGATTATCAACTACTGAGATTCATCATGGATGCATAGACCAATTCTGCCCATGAGTTCATCTCTGATCTTTCTTATCAATTAAACAATTAATTGTATGCATAACTGGTTAGTTAGGGCAAGTCTAGCAAGGGCATACACATAACTCAAACATTGTTGATGTGCAATTCACAAGATGCTTTTGCAAGTTGCAAGCCTTTTAATTTAATAAGAGCACTGATGTCTAATGAGGCGACCATAAAGGGATACCTCAGAGGGCTTCTCCTTTGTTGTTTCAGCAGACGATCTAGATACCTAAAATTTGCAAACTGGTTAGAAATAGCAATTTACTAGACCATCAAATGAAAAACCAACAGAAGCCTGAGTACAAATATATATATGAAACAAAGAAACTGAAATAGATCAGTGTCTTACAGATAGTGACATCGTGGAATGACTGATCCCATTTTCTTGTGAATATGAGGGAGCGGAACTCCCTAGTTCAGATTCTTCAGGGATCGGGTTGGGCGTAGTTGTTGGCACATAAACCACACGCAGCTTGAATTCATCAACAACCTTCCCTGGCTCCTTATTGAACTGTTATCATGAAAGCATATAGACACATCACACATGACATGGCAAGCAAGAATGTATGCACATAGCAACCTTATGGAAATAGAACTAATCAAGAGTGGAAGAGTAGTTACCATGGCTGCATTAATATCTTGAGCTGTTGCACCATTCTCAGCTGCAACGCTTTGAACTAGGAACTTGTCCTTGCACTGCATGTCAGGTGGTGAAGCCTTCTGTGCTTGCATTGTCACTAACAACAGACAAAGGTTAAGTAAACATAAGTACAAATTTGAGTTACGGTATAAGTGGATTTCCTTGCATCAAGCTGTTGTTTCACGATGTTATGGATTTGGGCGCTACCTGTAACATCACAAGTTGACCCAGGTAATACAACGCCAATATTAGGACGCACGCAGTACTGCTTCGGGTTGGTTGTTTTCACCTGCGAATCGTAGATGAGATATAAGATTTGCGTCTAACAGTGCAACCTATCCGAGCAAGTGAATATCTTGGAGCATGGAAAAAGTGGCATTGAACAATAGTTACCTTGAATGCTACATAATGGTCAGTCTTATTGGTCAGTTGCATGGAGCACGAGCTCTGCCTCATTATCTCAACTGCATGTACAGAAAAGCAGTTCAGGCACATAGCAAAGACGGTTTAATCCACTGTATAGTCAATAGAAAGACCTAAAAGGCAAACGAACTCAACAAACAGAGCACACTTAGGATAAGTGCTAAATAACACATTGCAGTTATTTCAAGCTAAGCAAGCAGACAATGACCAGAATGTCAAGTCAAAAGCAGCGCCAAATATACAGGCAAATTTCATTTCACGCTACCACATGAAAACAAACAGCACACACCAATACAGTTACAAAGCAATCTTTTCTACAAGATCCCAAAGCCCCGGAAAGGCCTAGTAACTACCAAACCGATGACTCACCACACACACAATGCACACTGGAAGCATGGATCAACAAACAAACAAACAAATCTAGCCCACTCAAACCCCAGCAGACGAACAGATCGGTATACAAATACTAGTACCTCAATGGCATTATGAACCTACAACAAGAAGACATGATTTTACAACCCACTCCACAAACCTAGCTGATTAGGGGGCTGCAAATCCACCTAGGGAGGATCGCCGACCATGTTTCGTACCAAGATCCCAGCTTTGACCAAGATCCAATAAAAAAGAACAGTCACGGCAGCATCCCAACATGATCCAAACAGCTCGATCTAGATACGAGATCTGGGAGGACTTACAGGGGAATGCCAGCTCCGATGGCTGGATCTCGAGGAAACTCCCGCTTCCGCCGCTCATGGCTGCTTCCTTGCTCGATCCCTGATCCAACAAGGCCTCCTCCTCTCACAGGGACAAGCAAATGAAGAACTCGGCCACAAATCCCGACCCTTCCTTTTGCTTCCGACGGAATCGAATGCGAAAACCAACAGCACCGGACCCTCTGATCGATGGGAACAGGAGGGGAAATCCCCCAAGGAATGAGGAAAAGATGGGAAATTTCGGTCGCCTTCTTGCCTCGCTGCAGTGCCGGGCATAAAAAAAAGGTTGCAGGAGAAATGCGTTAAGACATGGCCATGGGGGTCATTTCCCTCGGATGAACTAGCGTACCAAATGACGGTTCTGCCCTTTGGTTGGTGGCAGTAGCCAGCCACTAGCCAGAGTGTATAGTGTGGAGAGGGAAGGTCATACGTGGTAATAATGCACTAATGCAGCTGAGCTGGATGAATCCGTGACGTGGTGGCTTTACGACGTGCGCAGCTGGCTGCCAAATGTTCAGGTACAGGTCGGAACATGCAGTTTGCATCACTGTGCAGCCTTCAATTGCGTATGCACCATCATTTTGATTCATCTGTGTAACGATATATACAAGATCAGGTTGGTCAAATCCTTGTGCTAAACCTTAGTTGGCCCCGTTCGTTTGTCTTAAATTTGGCTTGTTCGGCTTATTTTTTTAGCCGAAACAGTGTTTTTCTCTCACAACAATTCAGCCGGAACAGTGTTTTTCAGCCAGTTTCAGCCAAAGTTCAGACCAGCGAACGGGGCCTTGGTTGATCCAAAGAAATTTTGCCAATAAAATACAAATTCAAACAAATACACTCTTATCAAATCTTGGTAAAACCAAAATCTTCCTTCTCTTCAAGGATTAATGAACCCAACATCCGCTTTATCTCAAAATCTAGTTAGGTCAAAAGGCCACTAAAAAATTATAGCCTAAACAAATCCTTCCACATGGTGGTACTGTCGAAAGGTCGGTGCTCACGATGGATGGTTCGACGTAATAGCAAAAAATCGCATTAGCCCCACCTTGCCTGTTCGTCTCACCCATGGAGAGTCCGACACACTTAATCTATCTAGCCAAGTCAACCATCAGATTTCGTGTGTGGCAAACGATTCGCCTAACCGTCAGACGGTCTACCAGATCACAATGACATATGTTCTATGCAATATCCGAGGTGTCATACACACATGCTCTCCCCTAGCCCCACATATTATCCCTCCTACCCACCCGCAACAACCAGGCCCTCTCCCTCACTCCATTCTCACCTAAACCCGAACAAAGAAAAGAAAAGGGATAGGAAAATAGAATAGGATGAAGGAAAAGAAGATGGGAGGAGGACCTCATCACCTCACCAGAGGCCATCGTTGATGAACTGCTCCACCTTATCCATGTCCTCAACCTTGTGCAGATTGGAGGTGGAGGCACCGAGTCACCTTCATTCTCAAGCCACCATAAGTGAACTCCGACAATTGATTGCTTCATCAAACTACCCCGAGGAAAGTTGTTATGGTAGAGCACCTCCCAACATCGTTCCCATGAGCTCCGTGGCCCTCCGATAACACATATCGCTATTGTTGGGTGGAGCTCCCAATCATGCCTATAAAAATCAACACCTAGAATTAGTTCTGCATAGCTTCAGGAAGCCATAGCAACAAACCAAATCCAAAACGCATAAGCGGAGGTGCACAAACTGCCCCCATTGGCTTCATCGGAGTTTTGGACATGTCCTGGCGGATAGTCTACAACCACAAGTAGTCTGTTATTGTGTTGTTCGGACAGACAAACGATTCATATGCATGCATTATATTAAATTTTCATAGATAAATAAGTATAGCTCCAAAAAATGTGAAACAAGTTCTCCTAGCTTCCTTATGTTGTTACCTACCTTTTCAAAAATGTGTTTGCACCACCATAAATGATGTTTATAATTTTATATAGCTCTGTGAACGAAAAAAAGACGAGAGCAGTTTTTTAGCTTTCTTTTTAGTTTGTTTGCTTTTTTAATTCCGTTCTAGTTCTCTAATTCTCCAATTATAAGGCGCAATATGGTCCATCTGATGTGTAACCCATTTCTAAAAGTTTTTTATATAGCTACCAAATATAGGTGTCTAGAAAATCTTTTTTCCTTGACCAATAAATTTTGCAATTGCAACCCAAAATCCTGTTTTTTTTTCAGTGGAGATGCTCCTGAGTCCTGACTTCCTGAGGCCCTAGCGAAGAGACAAATGGGCCCAGTCGTGCAAGCCCATATAGGCCCATATTCGTAGCTATTAAGTCGAGGAGCGCCAACGCCGCCGCCGCCGCCTACGCCGGAGAAGAACGAAACTGAGCTGCTAGGGTTTATCGCCTCTACCTAGATCACACAACCCTCCGCCTAGATCACACTCCTAGGGTTTTGCGGAGTCTGGTCGTTCGCAAGCGGAGAGGAGGAGGAGGTGGGAAGCGAAGATGATACGGCGACGTATACGGGAGCGGCACCAGTACCTGTACTCCAAGAGCGTCGAGGCCTCCCAGCGTGCGCTGTTCGAGAAGAAGCGCCGCATCAGGGCGGCGCTCGAGGAGGGCAATCCCATCCCCACCGAGCTCCGCAACGAGGAGCACGAGCTGCGGAGGCAGATCGACCTCGAGGACCAGGAGCCTCGAGGTGCGTGTTGTTCCCGTACCCCCGCTCCATCCCATGGCTTCGTTTTCGCTCGAGCGAGTGGAATGCAGTGTCCTTGCTCATTTACATTTGTTTGTACGGAGATCTGTCTAACGATCTGTTGCTCTGTTGTTCTGTTGTTTGGATTGGTGATTGGGTGCTACAGTTCCTAAGAGCATGGTCGATAACGAGTACGCTACTGCCTCAGTTCGGGAGCCCAAGATACTCTTGACCACGTCTCGCAATCCCAGCGCGCCCCTAACTTAGTTTGTTAAGGTATTTTTGCAGTCCTGGAAACTTTTGGATCGTTTCCGTAGGTCCAAATGGTGCATTGCATTCAGCTAACCGCCGCGATCTGGTTATCTTCCTAGGAGCTGAAGGTCGTCTTTCCCATGTCACAGAGAATGAACCGTGGCGGCCAGGTATATTGCGGCAGCAGTTACCATGCTATTGTTCTTTTGTTTGCCATATCCAATACCTGCTATGCATTCCTTGCAAGAAATTAGAACTTGTTGTCCATGATTTTTTTATATAGGTAGTAAATAACTGAACATATTGCTGTGCACGATTTCTTTGCTTTAGTGCTTACTACACTCTAGTATTTTGTTGTCTTGGTGTTTATTCATCATTTTTTACCGATCTGCAGGTCATATCAGAAATGGTTGAGTCATGCCGGTCACATGATATTACAGATCTTATTTTGGTCCATGAACATCGTGGTAAACCTGATGGTTTGATCGTCTCCCATCTACCGAATGGTCCAACTGCATACTTCGGGTTGCTCAATGTGGTAGGTGTGCTTAACCTTTTTGGAAGTATATATATGCTGAGATGTTGTGTAGCACAAGTGTACAAAATGAGCGCTCAAACTCGATTGTATCCTTAGTTTTGGTTGTTGTGGTCAGGTGACACGGCATGATATTAAAGGCAGGAAGGCAATGGGAAAAATGTCAGAAGCATACCCCCATTTAGTACTTGACAACTTCTCAACCCAGGTAAATCATACACACATTGTTTCATGGAAGCAGTTAACTGCTTTGCCCTCATACCTTATCTTTGTTGTCATGGTGAGCTGTTCACTGTGTGTGCTTGAAAAGTTGCACGCTTTCATAGCAAGGTAAACAACTTCATACTTGCGATGAAAAATTCTGGTGTGTGTGGGGTTGGTGATGGTGGGGCGTGGTGGTGGCAGTGGTTACCATGGTGTTTTTGTTTTTTCTTATTTGTTTATTCCTTACCGGCATGGAAATCCATGCAACCATTAGGAACTGGAGGTGGAGGCTGCCATGATGATAGCCTTTTCAAGAACTTCTCTCCCCCCCACCCACCCACCCCCACTCTCTCTCTCTCTCTCTCTCTCTGTCTGTCTGTGTGCGTGGCACACACATATACTCCCTCCATTCCAAATTATAAGTCGTTTTGGCTTTTCTAGATACATAGCTTTTTCTATGCACCTAGATATACACTATATTACCAATCTGTCCCTCCCTCCCTCCCATTGAGACCTACTTGTTAAGCATACACTGCTAGTATGATGATGGTGATGATGATATTCATTTGAATAATAAGCTGCTGAGCACCTCCAGTTCCATAATCTGCTGCTGCTATTGCGTTATTCCTTTCTACATTTTCTGCTTCCGCTGCTGTTTCCAAGCTAAGTTTCTTGTTTTGTTGATTTGCCTATGTTGTACATTGGTTAATTTAACAATAGTTCCATTCCAAAATATAGTGCTGGTCACATCAAATATCATGTTAAGGGCAAGCAAATGTTCACATTACAGTTTGTAGTTTGCTTACAGTTTGTGTGGCTGTCATGATGGACTTCTCGTTAACCTTAGACATACTATGAGGATAGCATCTATCCATTCAAAAACTATAACTGAGCAGCATCGATATTGTCCGAAGACATAACAAGTTGAGGGTGTTGCACACTTTTGTAACCATCTTTTAATTTGCCTTTTGTGCCTTGCTGCATCCCAGCATGTACATGCTTATTTTACAATGTTGGAAGGTTGCAATGATGTCTTTCTCGTTAACCTTATACATATTTGTTCCATGAAAGAAACCTAATCCATCCATAACTCAAGGCTGAGAACCTCCACTCTCACTAGTTTGGTATGTTTCCCTTTTCTTGTTTATGGTTTTTTTGGTGTCCTGTCAATCTCTGTTCAAAGGTTGCATGTGAATCTTAATATTTCCACAGAACGCCAAGGTTGTGATGATATATGTCTCATTAACCTGTGATGTGCTTGCTATTCGTCTTCTTTCAGTGTTGGAGGTTTTCAATGATGTCTTTCTCGTTAACCTGAGACGTTCTTTCCATGAAAGACACTTAAATCCATTCATATCTCAAAGACTGAGAATCTCCACTTTCACTTGGCCTTGATGTTTTGCTTTTCCTTCTATTTTCATGTCTTTTTTGTTGGGTGGGGGTCTGGTTTGTTGGGTTCAAAATTTGACAGGATTGTTTTGCCTTCATGTGCCATATCATTGTTGTCATGGTGACCTGTTCACTATGTGTGCTTGAAAAGTTACGCATTTCCATAGCAAGGTAAACAACTTCATACTTACGATGAAGTGTGTGTGGGGCTGGTTATGGTGAGGCGTGGTGGTGGCAGTGGTTACCATGGTGTTTTTGTTTATCTTGTTGCTTGCATGGAATCCATGTCCATCAGGAGGATATCCATGCAGTCATTATGAACTGGAGGCTGCCGTGATGATATCTTTTTCAAGAACTCTCTCTCTCTCTCTCTCTCTCTCTCTAACACACACTCTATGTGTGTGCGTGCGTGTGTATTATATATATGTATCTATCTATCGATCCATCCATCCCTCCCTCCCTCCCATTGACAGCTTCTTGTTAAGCATACATTGCTAGTATGGTGATGATGATGATATGATATTCATTTGAATAATAAGATGCTGAGCACCTCCAGTTCCATAATCTGCTGCTACTGCGTTGTTCCCTTCATTTTCTGCTTCCGCTGCTGTTTCCAAGCAAGTTCGTTGTTTTGTTGACTTGTCTATGTTGTACATTGGTTAATTTCTCAATAGCTCCGTTCTTTTTCATTCGCCTTTTGTGCCTTGCTGCATCCCAGCATGTGCATGCCTATTTTACAATATTGGGAGGTTGCAATGATGACTTTCTTGTTAACCTCATACATCTTTATTCCATGAAAGGCACCTAAATCCATTCATAATTCAAGGCTGAGAACCTCAACTCTCACTTGTTTGCTATGTTTCCCTATTCTTGTTCTATGTTTTGTTTTGGCGTCTCCATTTAGTTCTGTCAATCTTTGTTCAAATTGAACAGAGTTACACCTTGCATGTGAATCCTAATATTTCCGCAGAACTCCTAGGTTATGATGATGTTTGTCTCATTAACCTGTGAATGTGATGTGCTTGCTATTCATTCTTGTTTCAGTGTTGGGGGTTGCAGTGATGTCTTTCTCGTTAACCCGAGACATTCTTTCCATTGATGACACTTAAATCCATTCATGATTCAAAGACTTGAGAATCTCCACTGTCACTTGTATTTGATATGTTTTGCTTTTCCTTTTATTTCTTGTCCTTTTGTTAGGTGGGAGTCTTGTTTGTTGGTTCTAAATTTGATAGGATTGCATGTAAATCCTAATATATGCGCAGAATTCAGGTTTTGATGATGTTTTTCTTGTTAACCACGTGAGATGTAGTTAGTTACTACTGTGAAGACTACTCTCAGTCCATTCAAACCTTCTAAACTGAGCATCTCCACTTCCATATGCTGCTTGATTTAACTTGAAACACTTGACATCTGACCATCTGTCTGCTCGAGTTTGCATGCAGAAATCTCAACTATGGATCTGACCATCACTTTCTGTCTGCTTGAGTTAGCTTGCAGAAATCTCAAATTTGGATGATGTTGGTGGGAGGCATTCTGGGCTCTGGTTGATTGCTAGAGTACTTAGATTGGATTGTAGGAACTTGAACACACTTTAGAGTTTTAGGGAGAGTAGTTTTTTTTTTCCTGCAGAGGTTAACCATCCTTGTATTCTCTCTTTTTCCATGACAGTTTGGTAACTCGCTATGTGTATTCCAGATTGGTGAAAGGACTGCCACTATTCTCAAGCACCTCTTTCCTATGCCAAAGCCAGATTCAAAGCGAATAATTACTTTTGCTAATAGAGACGAGTACATATCTTTCAGGTACATACAATATTTCTGTCACACGCTAGTGTGTAATTGTGTGTGCTCTGCTTCCTGAGAAGCTTTTATGCATATGACTGACAGCTCCTTTTATTTTGTGATATGCAAGGCATCATGTATATGAAAAACCCGGCGGCCCCAGATCGATGGATTTGAAGGAGGTTGGCCCACGGTTTGAGATGCGGCTGTACCAGGTATCAGGAACACTCGCATCCAGTCATCATTACCACATTTTCTGAGGCACAAATACTGTTTGCTGGTACTAAACATGTTGATCGTGCTTGCCTGACAGATCAAGCTAGGAACTGTGGAATAAAGTGAAGTGCAGAACGAGTTTGTGCTGCGGCCCTACGTTAATACTGCCAAGAAGCAAAAGACTGTTGGGGCGTGAACTTTGAAAGAGTCGGTTGATGACCTGCACTGCAGTACAGCATTTTTTTTTTTTGGTTTGTCACCATCTATAGGGTAGTAGTAACATTAATGCACAGGATAGCTTAGGGCCATGTCGTCACGGACGCATCTCAAATCGTCCCCCAATTTAGGGGACCTGGACTTCTGAAAGGCAATATAAATGGCTACATTATATGTTTCTAGTATTTACTAGCACATCTACAACACTATTCTTAAATAGAGTATAAAGCACAAAATATATATTTTTCATATCACGAGTGAACAAACAAAACTAACAAAAAAACATTTTGAGGTGCGCCGGCACGACCTGGAGGCTTGCCAGCATGCCAAAGGACGTGCTTAGGCCGAATATATAAAGGACTTACATGTGCCATACCGGTACGGCATGACATGACGTAAAATGGCACGAAGCACGAGCACGTCCCAAGTCCCACGAGGGACATACAATTTGTTGTGTCATGTTTATATGAATGATAATGAACTAGCTGTTTTTATTAAATTTTCTTTTTGGTTTCCATCCACTAACAAAAATACAGAAAAGCTTTTGCCGTTTGTTCAAAAAAATTGTTCAATTTAGTTGGTCTTAGTCTAACCTTAAATCAAATAAATTACAAGACCAAAATGCTAGTGCAACAAATGATTAATTTTATATAGAAAATTGATAAGAGATTGATTTTTGTTTAAATAGGAGGCTATTGTGTATCTGTTGTTAATTTAAGGAAAGACGGAAGACATTCGTTTCGGCTGAAACGATCGTGGATTATAAGCCGTAAATCTTCTTTATTTGGTTTAGTATGAGAGAAAATATTATTGCAGCTTATCATCCATGATCGTATAAGTTTAAAAACGAACAAGCTTACATGTTTGCTTTCGGTATAGGCTCCGATGACTAGGCCGCGAGATGTCATGAGTGGTGTTAATAAAGATTTTACAGCTCTAAACTCCTGTAGTGGGTTTATTAGAGAGCACTGGACGGAAGCTAGGTAGAACGATGGAGAGATTTGGTGGATGCTAAGGAAAAATTTGCCACTTTTAAAACTAGATATAGATGTGTAAGGTCATGTTCGTACAAGCAATTAATTGTTGGTTTCTATTATACGGAGTAGAATACAATAAAAGGGTCAAAGTATTTATGCAGTGTTTCGTTTGGGTTCTAGACGTGGAAATGCATCATAAATGTATCATTCAAATTTAGTAGAAATTACTTTATTCTTCGTACCAGTACTAGTGAGAAATGAAATGGTAATACATCAGCTCATTCTATTATGTAAACCAAATAAAAAAAGTAAGATAATAATAGACTGCCTCATTTCACAAACCAAGCATCTCATTCTTTAGTTTCACTTTCAGTAAAGCACACCAACTCTTCTGGGACCTAATAACGTGAAGTTGACTTGGCATGACTTTGACTTGCTTCTCTAAAGCTTCAGAGTCAGTGCGCTCTTCTTTTGCACCTTATATGAGCCGCAGCCATACAACCTTTTCCTTCTTCTTTTTTTTGTGATCATACGGAACCTCCGAGCTCCGATCCAGAGAAGATATTGACCGGGCAGAGGTAGGCACTTGTGACTGGGTATCAGCTTTCTGATGTCTACTACAGGAAATTTAACCGAGGCGGACAAAAAGGATTAACTGAGAGGGTTTTTACAACCGCCTCGGCCAAAAAAAAGTCACGGTTAATGGTGGTCTTAACCGGGCCAACCGCCTCCGTTAATCGATTAACTAAGGCGGACAGTGTAAGTCAACCGCCTCGGTTAATGTTATTAACGGAGACGGTTGAGTTAAGTAGCCCGCCTCCATAAATAATTTTAGGAAATACAAAAAAGCCCATCGGCCCGGTAGACCACCGAGCCCGGTCCCGCGCGCCGCCGCTACTCGTGGCCGGATCCACGCCACTGTTGGTCTCGCGCGCCGCCGCTGCTCGTGGCCGGATCCACGCCGCCGCAGCCACCAGGGGCTAGATCCATGCACCCGTAGCCACCGGTGGCCCAATCCGCGCGGGAGCTCGGAGGAGAGAGAGGCGCGCCATGCCGTGGTCGGAGAAGAGGGGCGCGCGCCGGGAGCTCGGTGGAGAGGGAGGCCCACCATGCCGTGCTTTCGGAGAAGAGGGACGCCAGCGCCAGGCCGGGAGGAGAGGGAGGTGCGCTGGGCCGTGGCGCCACCATGGCCCAGCAGCGCCGCCACCGGCCGGATCCAAATTACCACCACACTGTAAGTAAACCGACCAATTATCTGAAATTAAGTAAGAGAATCATCCACGAAGCAGCGATTGAACAAACTTAAGCCCAGTATAACCCGGTAGTCCGTGAAATCACAAAGGATTTCAAACCAACTCGTGTCCCAAACCATGATCGTAATAAGTTTAGCGGTCACCATCACATATTACATAAAAGTTCGCAATCTCGGATACATCGAGTTTAAACATAGTTATTACAAACCAGTTCGAATAAAAGTAGCGGAAGTCATTTGTTCAAACCACACACACACTCACGCGGAGTTTAAATATAGTGCCAAATGAATGATCATCTCCAACAAAAGCATTAGATGAGGCGTAAGGAATGACCATGCCCATGGTCCTAAGCATCACCCATCGCAGGATAGAGGCAAGTTGATACAATAGCCGTAATACATACGCCCATCTCGCAACAAGTGGGAATAAAACCACGAGTACGAGAAGGTACTCACTAGACTTACCCGACATAACCGAAAATAAATGACACCAAGGAATTATGAAGGCTTTATAGTAGGGTAGTGACTCATTTGCAAAAGCATTTTTAGCATTTCAAGAACCTTTCTAAAAGCATTATTGTCAAGTTTAATTATTATTAACTCCGTCGACTAGATTTGCACCTATACTAGAGTAAACATGTGATTAAGCAATTAATGATAACTCTATTGATCATTAAACAACTTCCATTGTCATATTCACTATAACTGTCCAAGTGTTCCATAAACATTTACTACGATGAAGTCACTCAAGTCAAGTGCTCACTATCCGGGAGCGATGGCGATTGAATCGATTCCTAACCGGTGGTGATTTATTCCTTACACAAATCTCACTCACCCGCTAAAGTGAGATATTGATCACCGAGTCAACTTTCCGTGTATCTCGAGTTTGCCAGAACCACATGTACCCGGGGCCGACCGATCGCACTTTGGTCTTATCATCATCCCCCGTGTGTCCTACCACACACATGCTTTCAGTCAAGTTGCATGGGCAATCTACTCGCCCGAAAAATCTCCCAACTTCAGCGGTCGAAAGGTACTTTATCCGCCCGACTAAATGTAAGGCATGCGTTCAACATGACTCGAGGCCCAACAACGGTCGATCCTTAATCGACCTGACGGAAACACTACTGGTCCAAAACTCGCAAGTCTCCGCCCGGTCTCAACTTCATTTAACACTTAGTTATACCATGACTTCATAGCCATCCAAAAACAGATCCGGTAACCACCTATAGCTCGCAGGTGACAGGAAATCACCCGACTTCTACCGGTCTAAGCCAGCTAAGCATTGACTCGACTGCGGATACCAGGGTAACAAGGATATAGTATAACAAAGGTAAACAAGGTATAATGCAGCAACGGTTGCAAACAACTCCTGAACGTAATGCATCAATTTAAAGTAAAGTATTTAATGAAATCATTGCAAACCGGGAGAAAGATGCTCCGGGGCTTGCCTCTCTCGAAGGAGCTCGGACGGTGATCGGGGCACTCCGGAAGCTCCTCAACGTCCTCCTCGTCGGCTTCTGGCACTTCCTGCGGCTGCACCTCGAACTGCTCCTCGGGCTCCTCGGGAATGACGACTGGGTTCTCGGTTTGCGATCCTGTATGATGCAATGCGTGTAAGTGCCTATGCAATCGGTGCATCGAAGGAGATGAATGCAATGGATATGTTGAAAAGCAAGGTAGTCACATCATCCAAGAAAATATACTACAAGCACATGTCATCTACTGCATTCTCTTCTACTACTAATAGGTTAAGTCAACACATCTTATTAAATGCTTCAAAGATACACCAAAGCTTTACTAATTTCTTAATCACACTTAAAGCAACACTTGCTTAAACCCTAATTAATAATAGGTTTGAATAGCAACATATATTTCTGATGCTTCTAAAAATCTGAGAAAATTACAGTAGCATAATACTACCCTAAACAGACTACCATAAAAATTTCATGGCATTTGGATAAGTAAACTATCCTACACAAAAATGACAAGCTATAGCATAAAAATGAGCATGAAATTACTTTGTACTATGAAAAGTGTCAACCAACAGATTTAGTATTTTTCCTAAGTTCTAAACAGTCAATAATAACTGTACAAAAATTACCACATGCATGTTTTATACAAATTTTGCTCTCTAGCAAAAATAACAAAATTCAGCCATTAAAGGTACTTGAACTACACCTCAAAATTTTCCCACAGCACATGCGTGAAACATATTTTTCCTAGGAAGTACATTACATAATAAGATTAACAAACTTGAAATCATATTTTTCTGAAGCCTATAGATTTTTCTACATATTTTTCAAGTTATCAGCAATATCCATGATTAAATAAAATCCTACAGAAAAATATCCCAAAAATGACATGCAATAATTTTCCCAAGTAGATCTGATGATAAGGAACCTAGCAAAATTTGTTTCAACAAATTTGGAGCAAGTTTGATCACCCAAATATTTTTCAAACCATTTGATTTCAATTAACAAAAATAAATGGAAATCAATTCATTTAAGAAATCTGGGCCGCCCGTGGGGAACAGTTGGCCCACGGCCACAACCGCCCTCTTGCGGCCCGAGCAATGAGGGAAGGAAGACGGCCCAACAGGCGTCAACCCACTGGCCGGCTCCTACCGCCAGTAGAAAGGTGGTGCCTCACGGAGGTCTGTATTGGCCGACGGCT